GCTGCCTTAAGACAGAGATCTAGTAGTTTACTTTTTGTTTTACTCACATTCTGGATTTCTTAACATCAGTGAACACTGAACACTTCCTACCAGCCATAGATGTGTCACCACACAGGGGCAGGCCCCCAGAGAACCCTTTAGAAGGCCAGGTCCAGCTAATGGAATTTGTTCTTTCCTCCCATTAAGGCTAATAAGATTCAGTGTGTCCTAAAATCTATTTAAGTTCCATTGCAGTGATTTTAATCAACCCAACAGGCTTTATGCATATCTGCTGTGCATGAGAGAGCCCCATCCTAGTCATCCCCTTTGTACAGAAAAACTTTCCTGTTGTTTCAAAGATGAGCCTAAAATGCTTGGGACCAAAAGTGGTTCAGATTTTGGATTTTTCAGATTTGCGGATATTTGTATTTACATAATGAGATATTTTTGGGATAGGACCCAAGTCTAAACATGAACTTCATTTGTCTCATATATACTTTATACACATAGCCTGAAAATAATTTGATATAATATTTTAATAGCTTTGTGCATGAAACAAAGTTTGTATGTTTTACGCCATCAAACAAAGCAAAGGTGTCACTATCTCAGTCCACCCATGTGGACAATCTATAGCTGTCTGGCATCACCATCATTCCTATGAATTTATGTTCTACCAATAATCAATCATTTTCTTATACTTATTCATACATAAGTACTTAACAGTCAATGTGAAGGTTAATTGCGATGTCAGTTTTACTTATTAAGCAGTAAAGGCCAGAAAATTGAGGGAAGAACCACCCCCAGATGTGGGCAGCACTTACCAATAGGCTGGCCTACATGTCAATGATCCACAGACACACCCGGAACTGTGCTTTGGAAGGCTGAAAAAACTGGAAGTGCCTGTCCAAGGTGATGGCAAAGACTGGAGCTCTTCCAAATGAGAACACTTTCTCCTTCTTTCCCTTTTTTATTTCTAGTCTTTGCCATTAATGCTCAACCTGTTATTAGGAAAATGTAATTCAAAACAAATACAACCAACCAAGACCTGGCAACTCTAATTCTAAAAAGACATTACTTTATACAGTTTTAATTCCTTGGAACTCTACTGCTTGTATTTTGTGTTTCTTGAGATAAGGTGAGATGGGGAAAGCCTGCCTTAGTAATTTCTTAAAAGTCTAGAAAGCTAGCAGCTTTAAACATTTCCCCTAACAGAAACAATCCCTGGGCGCCAGTTAGAAGGATTACCTTTTGGCATTTCCCAGCTGTAGCATGGAAGCATCAGCTAGAGGTTCTTATTCACTGCAGAGCTTGAAGTGGGTAGGGGTGAATTCTCCACATGCAACACCTGAAAGACTTTCAGCTCCTGCTGACTTTTGCAAGGGAGCCTTCAGGCTCTAAGAAGGAGATTTCTTTTTTGTACTGGGGATCAAACTTGTGCTTTCGAGGCAGGCGGTGGAACCACTGAGCTAAATCCCTGGCCCAGGTGATTTCTTTACACAGTGTATTGAGTGCCCAGTCTCTTGGATCCTGCCTGGAACTTAGGTGGATAAAAAGAGGGGACTGAAACACTCCCTCTCTAGCCATTAACGTGTGCTATCTACCCCAGAAACACAAGGGCCAGTAAAGTCACACTGTAGGGTACCCTATGCCTGACCCCATGGTCACCGTTAAAGGTGTTTCCCAAAGCTTAGGATTTTCAAAGTATTTTAAATCATGTATTTAATACATAGTCTTTTAATCATAGCATTTTAATCTATGTCTCTTCAACATAGGAGGCCTGGACTTGGCACCTAAGTGAGCCTGTTTGGCATGTTTATGTAGTGAACATAGAACAATACAAAACAGCCCACATTAATGAAGTTACATAAACACCACTCTAATTTGGCTCACTGGAAGGAGGATACTGTATTATTTTCAAATCCCAAGCTCTTGCTTTCAGGTGCTAGGAGAACTTGGTCTAATGATCGATAAACCCAGGCTTTGCTGCATGGCTAACAAACACTTGAAGAAGTACACTCAGATGAAAATGTTCTGGAATTAGTGATGATAGTTGCATAACTCTGTCAATGTACTAAAGACTATTGAATTGTGTATCTTAAAAAGGTGAGGGCCGGGGATTTAGCTCAGTGGTTCTGCTGCCTGCCTCGCAAGCGCAAGGTCCTGAGTTTGATCTCCGGTACCAAAAAAAAAAAAGTGAAGTGTATGGTATATGAATTCTCTCTCAATAATTTAAAGCACACTCAGAAGTAGGATTCCCCATGGAGGTCCCGACCCTGTGCTGATATAAAGAGTAACATAATATTTTTGCTGGTCTTAAGGGTAGAAGAGCCTTTCAACTTCCCCTATGGGGACCAAGGCTGGAGCTCTGGAGTCTGCTCTGCCAAATTCTAGCCGAGTGTCCTTGAGGAAGTTACTGTCTCATACCTACCTCATGGCATGGAGAAGACTCAGAACCATCCTGTGCACAGTGGGAACTCTGGACACATGGCCTGTTATGGTGCACTCCCACTGAAGTTGAAGCTTGGTGAGCAGAGGCCCACTGCTTCCAAGTATGTTCCCCTCCTGAGGGGGTAGCTCGTCCTTGGGTACAAGGCAGTTTGGAATCCTTAGAAGCCACCCCCAAGCCTTGCAACTAAATTTCATCTCCGATTTAAATCTTGACAGCCACACCTTGGAGTTTGTGGTCATCTTTAATTTTCTTACTGTGATTTCTGGGACCTTAGCCACACTCCATCAGAGATGCTAAACTCAACTGACCCAGGAGATACCAAGCCACCTGCTACCTTTCTACATGTACACATGGTCAACATCCAGTCTCATCAGGTTTTAAATTCTTATGTATCTTGAGTATTTCTGGTATCTATTGCAAAGTCCATGTCTCTATTAGATTATACCGCCTAAGTTTTAAATATTTTACTATTTGCTGGAGAAATTCTCCCTTTTAAAAATCCTGTAAGTTTCTTAGCTTTGTGTTTATTTGCTTATAGGAACTGTACAATTCTACTTTCAAGCTAGCAAAAAGAAATCTCACTGATTAGGACAAAGGAGAGTGCTGCTACTGTTAGCTTTCTTCACATGCATAGATCTTTGCATTTCCATCTATTCTAACAGCCTTCAGTCAAGTTTTAGATGTAATTTATTTCTTTGATTTTTTTTAGTTTAGTTTTTCCTGTTTGTTGCACATATATAAAAGAACTACTGATTTTAATAGCTGCCTCTTCCTTATAAAATTATTCTGAGTTTTTCAGTTGTTTCAGGTTTCCTAGAGGGGATAAAAAAAAAAAGAGTATCTGTAAAGGCTTCTGATTTCTAAGAATTCTCACTTGTTTTATCTTCATAACTGTGCTTCCTGAACAACACTAAGAAGTGGGAATGTAGGTTACCCCATGCTGTGCCCCCATGTAGTAGATCTACCTCTAGAAACAAATTAGTGTCTTGTCACCATTCGGACTGGAAAGGTTCACTGGAGATTTGGGCAGCCCAAAGAAGAAACACAGAACTGTGGACCGGGTTAGACATCTTTATTCTCAGCTACTCAGCTCAGCCCTGCATTGCAGTCATCAGGCCCCTAGCCCACCCATTTTGAAGCAGTCCTTGGCTGCTTAGTCTCCCGCCAACCCTCTCGGCAGTCTACACTGATACCAAAATACACAATAATGGTCATGTGCCAGTAACGACCTTGGTTATGTAAGTCATTTACACCAGCCAGCATCAACTTTGGCTGTAGAAGCTATTTACATTTGGGTATTGGAGATGTGCCTGTGCTGGGGTTCTCTGTATTTTTTTTTTGGTACCAGGGATCAAACTCGGGACCTTGCATTTGTCAGGCAGGCGGCGGAACCACTGAGCTAAATCCCCAGCCCTATGCTGAGGTTCTATTGACACAGAATCTATACTGCCTCCCACATCCCCTTCCGTTCACAGCCTGAACCACAGTACTGCCATCTTGTGCTTTTGTGTTTCTGTATTATTTCTGTATGTTTTATGTTTGCTTTCTAAATTTGGTTTATAAAGCATTTGAATAACAAAAAACCTGTATATACTATGAAAATGTTTAGAATGTTCACAAACTAGCAATTGTTCTTGGCCCCTATAGCCAGCACTCATGATGACATAAGCCATTCCTAATGCCCTGTCAAAGCCCTGTGTGTGGAATTAGTTAAGTGTCTTCTCCTGTGCCCTAACTCTGTCAACAGACTAGGCCCTCAGCTTCAGAGATGGCAGCCCAGAAGTTACCATGAGGGTGTTTAATTCTAGTCATGTCCACCTGGCTCCTGGTCTAGGCTAGTACCTTTTCCAGGCAGTAAACATGCCTGTGATTTAGATACAAAAAAGTTGGCCTAGGTTTCAGCTTCCTTGAAAATAAGGGTCAACATTTCTATTATAATTTTGTTTAAATGCCAACTTCCATGAGAAATACTGTCCTAGATTACACAAGGTTAAACGTGTCTTAGCTAGCTAGACAGTGTTTGTATAAAAGTACAGCAACCTAGCTGTACTCAGAAATTCATCGTGTTCTAGGGACAGGCCATCACTCAAGCTTGTTTCCACGGTTGGCTCCACCTGGCACTGACAGGAGAGGAATTTTTAGTAAGTTTGACAAGAATACCTGGGCAGGATTCAGGGTTCCCCCCCACCCGCCCCACATAGTCCCATGGGTTTTAAAAACCTGGTTTAGTTCCAGCACAATTTTTCAATGAGCTTACAAAGAAACAAACAAAAATACTAGCAAGTCATCACTGTTCAAGGAAAATATATTTCACATTAAGCAGAATGTACACATCATGCAAATGAGACATCAACATGGTCACAACAGTGCTGTGAGGTACAACACATCACACACACATACACACACATACACACACACACACACACGCACACACATGCACAAACCCCAGACATCTAGCAAAATAAAGCCATAAAAATGGCCAGGCATTTTTTAAGTCAGGCCATGGTACCATTTTGTGTGCTTATCAGAAAAGGGATTATCCCCGATATTCATCAAAATCAATGCTACTGCATTATTAGAGGCATGTATTTTATTTAGTATATATACATACACAAACATACACAGTTTTCATAACTAATAAATTCTTAAACTGTAGCTTCTTTAAAAGCACATGAATGAGATTACTATTGAGACTTGCAAATCTCTCAGAATTATGGTTCTCTCTAAATCCTTTATTACAAGTTTAAACAAAAGTTCCAAGGAAGAGGTCATTTATCTGAAAGTCACATTTTACCACAAGAAGAGAGAAAAAAAGAGAACACAGCATTATATGGCATAAAATTTGTGGGGCAAACATTCTAGTGTTATTTTTCCCCATTCAGATTTTTTTTTAATGTTATAGTCTGTTAAAGTGACATACTGGGACCAATTTTGGGCCCCCTTGTTTCAGAGCACTATGCTTTTTATCTATGCCTGGTTTTATTACAGTTGAGCAAACATAGGAGCAAACAAAGAAAAACCCCAAGATCCAATAGAAAACAAGAGCAAACCCCAAACCAACCGCCTGCAAATGAGACACATTCAGTGTCATTCAACAGGAAGACCACTTGATAATTTGGAGGGACTACAGTGGGAGATTTGAAGGGGCAATACGAAGGGTCCTTGCCTGATTCAGTTGCCCATGCATATAAGAATATGCATAAGAGAACAGAAATGACTATGCATTGTTTAATTCTTCCTTACTCAATCAAATTGATCAACCCCAAAGGAATAATGTGGGGCAATGTATTTGCAGGTGGCAAAGCTTGAATAAAAAGACTTCTTGATAATATTTTAAAGAGAGAAAGCCCAGAGAGGGAAAAGCTCCTGAATTTCTTCTCCTTCTAAACAAAGGAAAGGAGCTATGCAGCCCAGGCTGAGAACATGTTTAACTAGAGTTGAGCAAATGCCTAGAATATTTATAGGAGGAGACATCTAAATGCTTATGGGCTCTGACTCCAGGAAAGAGACCGACCACAAAGTGAACTTCCATGGCAGCATCACTCAGGTTACTTAGAGGGTCACTGTGATAATAGACAAGGACAGGCAGTGCTTTAGTAGCGGCAGAAGCTCCTAAATAGAACCGTAAGTGAAACTTCGCTAAAGCCCATTAAGGTGAAAAGTCTCAAGGTTTCTACCAAGAGATGCCAGTGTTTGACATACTACCTAGGAATACAGTTACATTCCAGTCTAATATCACAGCAGTTAAGGGTGACAGAAGTTTCTTCAGAGAGCCAGCAGCTGGGATTTGGCTACCAGCAGCTTCTTGGGTGCTCCAAACACCACCTGTGTCAATTCAAACACAAAACCACATGAGAGCAAGGCAGAAAATGAGGGTTTTGCACTTGGTAATTAGATTTTCCTTGGCTCATACAGTGTCTCAATAGAAGTACTGCAGTATTTTGCACAGGACCTTCCTTTTAGATGAGTTAGATTTTCCTTGTGTGAGACTTTCCTAAAACCTTCAGATGTTTTGTTGTTTTACCTTTGACCAAAGAATGGTCCTCCTCTACTGGGGAGGCTGTCTTCTTAACTGAGAGCACAGCTTTGGGGAGATGCACACAGAGCAGTGAGGGAGTAAGGGGATGCCCTCCTGCCAAATCTCCCTTGCATCAAAAGCTACAAATATTTAATGTCTCAAGAGTTGCCTTCTGTGACAGCCACTGTGACAACAAAACCCACCAATGTATTTTCAAACACTCCATAGTGAGGATGGGATGGTACCATTTTGATTGAAAAGGATTTGAGAACTAGACTATATAACATATAAAAATGTACACGCAGTATGAATAAAGTGATTGAGCCAAAAATGTTTTTTGGATTGGGATTTTACATTTCTTTTAGCGATGTAGGGAATAAATTTGAGGACTCATGAATATTCTCCTAAGCTTTGCAGATTTTCTGGCCCTTACTGGGTAGTAAGGTAAGTGAACTGAAGGGAAGCTAATTAAGTCAGGGTGAGCTAACAACAAAAGGAACCTCTTAGTAAATACTAGGCCATGCAATTTTCAGGGAAACAGACTGCTCGGGTGAATTAGTGTTTTAACTCATTTATGTGTAGTGTGCCATTTTTAAACACCCATAACAATGGAACATAATAGAAATTTTCTCTTCAGATTCTTGATCCTTGAATTTTTCTAGGTAACATAAATTTCATGCAAAATTTTAAAAATTGCAACCTTCCATATAAATAGGTTAAGTGTGCCAGAAAGTAGCTGCTCTTCTGAAGCAAGGATATAGTTTAGAAGTAACTTGTCATGCATTTCCTTTCATGTGTCAGCTGTTTTCCTGAGAACTGGGAGAAGGGGACTCTAAAAATTCATTGACTACAAGCAAGAGCTGACACCAGGTAGAAACAGGTATACCAAACACAGTGACTTTAGCTGTGTGGCCTCCCTAACCTATTACCTCATTTGAGAAATAAAAAGGTTGGACTAATGTATCTAAAAGTTTACCTTGATTTAGTATAAATTGTTTGATATGTTTTTTGGTCTATTAGTCTGGCTGTTAATCTGTGCTTATGGTAATTAACTTGATAAAGACTTAAATAAATCTGATGCTGGCAAAAAAGGCTGGACTAAATTATTTAGGCACTGAATTTCTAATAAAAGAAGTGAAACATCATAAAAATCCAGTGACAGAGGGCCGGGGATTTAGCTCAGTGGTTCCACCGCCTGCCTCGCAAGCTAAGGACCCGAGTTCGATACCCGGTACCAAAAAAAAAAAAATCCAGTGACAGAGAATACTGAGAATATAAAAATGTTTTTAAGAGTCTAAAGTAACAGGAGCTATAGAAATTAAGTTATGAAGAGATTTGGTGATAGATCCTAATTATGTTTTTATTATTCAAAAACAAGCCCAAATTGAAGTAAATCAAGTGTGAAATGTGTGTATTTAAGTGCACATAACTACACAGTATATATAACCTAGATTCTTAAATGAGGGCCTGGGGATGTAGCCTAGTGGCAGACCACGTGTGAGGCAGACAGAGAGACAGACACAGAGAGACAGACAGAGAGAAAGATAGAGACAGAGAGAGAGAGAGAGAGACAGAGAGACACAGCGAGACAGAGAGAGAGACAGGCAGACAGGCAGCAGACAGAAACACAGAGAGGGAGTAGTTTTACTAACACTGCTTTGAAGCACTATGAGAGCTTCTATCCATGTCCCTGAAAAAGGTGCTACTTGAGATGGGCTGGTAGTCCAACCTTTAGCCAGTGTTCTCAGCCTTCCCACTCATACTCCCAAATAGTAGGGGCAAGGTGGGCAGGGCATGGAATAGAAGACTGTATATGAAAGAAGTACTTAAAATCCATCTCTGTTCTCATATGTGCTGCAATACATAACATATTTGTATTTGCATTCTTTCAGATAAAATTGGCCATGTTGGAGCTGAGGGATACTCATCCAATGTTCACACACCCTAGTTGGGAAGTTAATCAGCAGAAGACTATACCTTTCATTAAAGGGATGTTGCATTTGTCAACAGAAGGTGTTCAGAGTAGTCTCTTGGCCAGGACTGTTAAATCCCTCGATAAGGTTTTTGTTACAATCATCCATGCTGAGATTTTCGCTGGATCTCTTGGGGAACGTCGGGGGACCAGTGAAGTCTAAGAGATCTTGAAGCGCTCGGGCATTACCAGTTCCATTTTGGTCCAGAGACACTCCAGGAATCATTTCACTCACTGGTGAAAATTCTGGGATGGAGATCAACTCTTCTTTGGAAACAGGACTAGAAGAGATGGAGACAGAGAGGAAGAGAGAGAAGGAGAGGGAGATGAGAGACTATGAGAACAACAAAGCACAATATGTTAATATGCTTCATTCTATTTGTAATATTTTGTTACATTACTCTTTTAGAGAAGAAGTGTTTAGAGACAGAGTTTGTGTGTGACATACTATAAAAAAATACATGGAAGGGGCGGGGATTTAGCTCAGTGGTTTCACCGCCTGCTGCACAAGCGCAAGGACCGGAGTTCAATCCCCGGTACCAAAAAAACAAACAAACAAACAAACATGGAAGTTCAAGTCTAAGAAGTGATAGACATAGGCCCCTAGGGAAGTAGACTGGACAGGTCTGTGAAGGCCAAGCTTACATTGAAAAAAGGAAAAATGCTACAGGCATGAGCACTTTATTACTGAGAGGCAAGGCCCTTCCAGAACTTTCAAAATGAGACATTCAAACAGAAAAGCAGCCAGAAGCTCAAAGCCTGATGAGGAAGGGCCCTAATTAACACTGGGGCTTCTGATGCCGCCTTTCCAGCAGTGCTGCTCTGGCTGAGCTGCTTTTCCTGCCCCTGGCCTCAGTCTCCTCCCCTGCAAAATGGGAAGAACAGTCAATTTCTCGCTCCCACAGCTCACATGAGTGTGAACGTGACTGTGCCGGGAAGAGTTCATGCCAAGTCACCTGGGTGCTCAGTTCAGGTTGGGGACCGGGGTGGGGATCATTAACAAGGACCTCATCCACTTAATTAGCTAATCTCACCCACTGTCTCCTCTCTAAAGCTAGGCTTTCAATCCACCCCAACTTATCTAGCTCTGCCTAGCCAAGCCTCATTGTTTCTCCATTCTCCCCCTAGAGATGGAAGGAGTTCCACTGCTGCTTGCTATATGCCAAGCCAATCCAGGCACAGGAGTCGTGGGCTGGGAAATGAGGCCCTGTTCCCAGGAGTCTCTTAATAACCAGAGTAAGGCTGGTTTTTCTTTCTTAAGATCTTGGAGAAGAATCTAGAAAAACCAGTTTAACTGAAGCAGCTCAGATGATCCACCTCCCTCCCACCTGAACCCAGTTGAAGGAAAGTGACTAACCTGACAGCATTTCTGGTGTTTGAAGCCTTGACAAAAGGCCTAAGCAGAAACACTGTCCCATCTTTATTTTTCCCTATCTCTATCCCCAGGTTTAACATGCTCCTGCTAGCTTGAACCACTGGTGGTGCACACACGACTGTCCCATCAGGTGGCTTGTACACTGGCGGTACAAATGGATCTAATCACTTTTATCGGTCTTTGTACTAATAAAATTAGTAAAAAGCCATCTGATGAGACAGTCATGCAGGTACCACTGGTGGCTCGAGCCGCTTGGCAGCAAGACATATGAACTGTGGCCCCATCGTGAATGTGTTCAAACAAATGGTCAGACCATGGGGAAAAGAAAATGTCACCCTACGCTTGGGTACAGCGGCCAGGAGTCACACCTCTCTCTAAGGGAGAACTCAGTGTGCAAAGCCCTTCCTTGAACCCTGGCCAGTGGTACCATGTCTTGTCACTCCTCTCCCTCCACCCGAAACACATAAGAGTAACTATAACTTGCTCAATATGGGGGTGGATATATGTCGTATTAACTCTAAAGATTGTCTCAGTTACTTGAGAGGCTGAAGCAGGAGGATTACAAGTTCTAGGTCAGCCTGGGCAACTTAGTGAGAACCCATCTCAAAATAAAAAGGGCTGGGATGTAGCTCAGTGGTAGAGTGCTTGTCTAGCATGCATGAGGCCCTGCATTTAATCCCCAGTACCAGAAAAGAAAAGATGGCTTCAGTTGTTTTTCTGCTGGGGGCAGAATGGAACCAGTTAGGGAAAGCCTGTCACGGTGGTAGTGTTGGGGAGGGAAGATTAAGCAAGGTGCTGGGGAGTCCTGTTTTCAGTTTCCACAAAAGTTGGTCTACTGATGATGGAACTGTTGCACCCTGGACTTTCACACATCTGGCTCCAGTCAAGTAAGGATGAATTGGATATTTACAATCAGTGTCCCAAGAACCCCACCTCCACTCTTACCCCCAGACTACGCTGAGAACTCAGAGCCAAGGAAAGAAGGGTAAGCTTTGGCAGGATGTCACTCTCTCCTGACTCAGAGAACCACTCCCTACTCCAAGGCCATCCACTTCAACGCCTCTGCCTTAATCCCATGCCAATTAGTTCTTTTGTCTGAGATTAATTTGCCAGATGATGTTATCTACAAACATGAAACCAATTTAAGAATGATTTAGGTTTTTAGGATCCAAAAGCAAATTAGTTCCATTATTAAGTCTCCAGTGACAAGTTTACTTAAATAGGAGACTCTCTACCAAAGGGACCCAGTTGGCAGCCTGGCCAGATCCCCTTTACCCACAGATGCACCCATCTCCAGCAGTAGAGAGTGGGCTGCTGAAGACTCACAGTTGCCACCTTCTCTCCCGACAAATTCCTTTGGCTGATGAAAGCCACAGTTAGTCCTGTAACTCCCACCCTACAGGGTCCACAGTGAATGAGTGTGAGCATGGTACAAAAGCCACCTGCCTTGTCTCAATCAGACAACTCTCTAGAGGAAATTCAGCCTCCAGAGCTCCTGTGGAATTGTCTGAGAACACACTGTTGCTTAGTGTCTTCCCTCCCTGCCCTTCCTCCTGAGAAATTCCAGAGAGTCCTTCCCTAACAAATCATATGCCAGAGGGCCAGGATTTAGCTCAGTGGTTCCGGCGCCTGCCTCGCAAATGCAAGGTTCTGAGTTTGATCCCTGGTACCAAAAGAAAATCATATGCCAGAAACTCCATCCCAGGTTCTGATTCCAAGCAAGACTCTGGTATTATTCCACTGACAGCTTTCCTATAGAGTCAACCAAGTCTGCTTTAGGTGATTCGGTTGTGTAAAAGCTGAAGAAACTAACTAAAAGACAGCGACAGTGTTTGGAGAAGAGATGGAGTTCAAACGCAAAAGAAACGGACAGACCTCACATCCATAGACTGAGCTTCTTCAGTTGAATCATCCAGACTGTTTGATTTTCCATCAAGGGCACCCAGATGAACAAGTCCCCCAACTGGTTTACGCCCATTAGAGCAAACATCTTGTGGAAAAGCTTCGGGGGCAGTGCGCCCCACGCCATTAATTTCCTGGCATGTGTTCAAACTGTTGAGTTCTGATCAAGAACACAAAATCCTCATGTGAATCTTAAAATATCCAGTAACAATGAAATAATAACAAAGTAATTAATTTAATCCTCTGCTTCACCAATAATACAACATCTTTTGTGAAAAGAATCACCAATAATCCCATGTAATCACCTTCACACAGGGGAAGAGAAGATAAATCACATTAAAATTATCTACAGGGCAACAGTAGAAGAGAAGAGCCAGGTCTCAGTAACACCTGACAGCAGTTAACCTGGAAAGCATTGAGGGCCAGCAGACAGCATGCCTTCCATGCCAGGATCATCAGAGTAACTGAGGAAGCCAGTGGTCTTCTAAATGGATCTGTGCTAGAGACGCCCCAGGAAGGGAAACTGCTAGCAGTCACACTCTTGGGACGCATGTGCTTTACCCCTGCAGGAAGCATTATGAGCCCTCACTGCTGAAAGGCATAGCCTAAGCACACTTACCTATTTTGTTGGGGACAACTGGTTTTATTTTATTTTCCACACACACAACAGGCTGAATCTCCACTTTGGGGTCTTCTTTCTGAAAAGAGAGGGTGGATGAAAAAGAGGGAAGGGTGACATTACATAGTAAAACAAGTGCTTCTTTAAAGCAAGAGAAGATATTTGGATCCCTGCTGGGCCATCGGCCTGGTTCACAGTAAGTCTTTGTATCTTCAGCTGTTTCCCTTATTAATATGTCACCATTCTCTCTCTCTCTTTTTTTTTTGTACCAGGGATCGAACTCGGGTCCTTGCGCTTGTGAGGCAGGCGGTGGCACCACTGAGCTAAATCCCTGGCCCCTACCATTCTCTTTTGAATTCATGGACCACTATGACTCTCCCTGCATGCCCACCTGCTCTGAGGAAATTATTTACTTGCTCCATCTCTGAAGCTTCTTTTTTCTTTCAGGACCCTGTATCTTCTTTAACCTAGACAAGAATGGAGCATGAAGAGTCCATTTTTTCCTGGCTAATTCTCTCCAAGACCTAAAACTACACTGACTGTATCCTGCTGTTCTTTTCCACTCAGCACATAATGATCATCTGAAGTCCTTACCTTCACTTCTGGAGACACGTCACTCTTCCTTGTTCTCTTCATGATTTCATCTATTCTCTGAAAACAAAAGGTAAGAGGACTGTAGGGCCAAAACCATCAAAAAGTAGTTGGGTCTACAAGCAATTTCACATTTCTCAGAAAACTTGTAAAAGTCAAATGTCAGCAGAGGCTAATTAGTATAGAAAAGTTCTCCACTGTTTTTGTAGATGTATACCTCTGGCCTATGAACAATGTTAAATGAAATGCACCAGTGCATATCTAGAATCAATATTTCAATTTATATCCCAGCTTTTTCCTTCTTCTTAGGTTTCCTATAAGTCAACAAATCACTACCTAGCATTCAAGAGTATCACCCTTGATACTCTGAGCTGAGGCTCAGGAGGGAAGACCATAGGCTGGTCTCCTGGCTCCGGGCCTACAGGAACACAAAGCCCAGGCCAAGCCCAGCAGTGGTGAACCCATGGCACACATGCTATAGTGGGCTGTTTGTCTCACTGAAAGCTCTAAAAGGTTTGCCATCACTGGCCTAGGGCATCACAAGAATAGGCCCTTATGATCAGTCTCCTTAAACCCAACTTTATCCATAAGTACATTAAGTGTAAAGGGACTAAACATGCCAATTAAAAGACAAAGACATGCCTGCTGCGCAAGTGCAAGGACCCAAGTTCAATCCCTGGTACCAAATAAAAGACAAAGACAATCAAACTGGATTATAGCAAGTCCTGAACATATGCTGTTTGCAACAGATCCTCTTATAAGGACACATGCATAGGTTCAAAGTAAAAAGATGGAAAAAGATTTACCATGCAGACACTAATCATAAAAAGGCTGCCAAAGCAGATTGTTAAAAAATATTATTAGAGTTAAGAAGGACATTTTATAATAAAGGGTTCAATTCAGCAGGAAATTTAATAATCTAAAATATACATTCAACTAAAAGCAGGGCTTCAAATATGTAAAACAAAAACTGACAGGCCTGAAGAAAAATGGACAAATCCATAATCACAGATTGAGCTCTATAACAGTCCTTTCTCAGTAACTGACAGAACAAGATGACAAAAAACAAAGATACGGATTTGAACAGCACTATCAATGAAATTGACCTAATTGACAATTCTAAGAACACTCTTTCCAATCACTGCAGAACGCAGCTGGATTTACTTCCTGTTCCCGCCTTACCCTCATTTTAAGTCCTCATCACTCAGCCCTTACCTTCTTCCTCTCCAGTCGCTCCTGCTCAATCTGCAGCATTATTTGTTCTCTTTCTAGACGCATCTGTTTAGCAGCCTCCTGGGCCTTTGCTTCTGATGCTTCTTTCTGCAAGAAAACAGGTAAACCAAGGTGCAGGCTTTATGAAGCCAAAAAAACACCAGTAATTGGTCATTTGAGAGATGCAAATGAAAACAACACTGAGATTCCACTTCACTCCAGAAAGAATGGCTGCTATCATGAAATCAACCAATAACAAATGCTGGCGGGGCTGTGGGGAAAGAGGAACCCTGCTCCACTGCTGGTGGGAGTATAGACTGGTGCAAGCACTGTGGAAATCAGTATAGAGAGACCTCAAAGACCTAGGACTGGAAATCCCATTTGACCCCGCTATTCCACTGCTGGGGATCTTCCCCAAAGAATTAAAAGAATCATACCACAGTGATGTATGTGTGCCCATGTTCATAGCAGCGCAGTTTGTAATAGCTAAAACTTGGAAACAGCCCAAATGCCTATCAACTGGAGACTGGATAAAGAAAATGTGGTTTTTTTATAAAATGGAGTACTACTCAGCCATAAAAAATGAGAAATTAGAGACATTTATAGCTAAGTGGGTGCACATTGAGGCAATACTCTTAAGTGAAATAAACAGGACACATATGTGTAAATACCGAATAGTTTCTCTGGTGTGAGAAACTGAAAGTGTAAATAAGGACTAAATGTATGAAATACATTTATGAAATAAATTTATTTAATTTATTTCATATGAAATAGGAAGAAAAGGGGCAAAGGGGAAGGAAGTGGGAGGGCTAAGGGAAAGGATAGAAGGGAATGGGATTAATATGAGAAAATGGAAAAATAGGAACAAAATTTTTGTAAATAGGGAGGGCTGGAGGGGTTGAAGGGAGGGCTGGGAAAGGGTGAAAAACAAGAACCAAGAGAGACTATGGAAAGGTGCAAATTTCCAATGATGAATGTCATTATATTGTATACCTAAAATGTACCAATTATTAGAATGAATAATCGATAATGTAAAATAGGAATAAAAGGTCCAAAGGGGTAGGGGTAGTGGGAGGCACAGGGGAAAGGAAAGAAGGGAAAGGAAAAAATGATGAGAAACGGAAAAAATGGAAATAAAGTCTTTGTAAATAGGGAAGGGTGGAGGGGGTGAAGGGAGGGCTAGGAATGGGGAAAAAATAAGAACCAAGATGCATTATATAAAGGTCCAATTCCCAATGAGAAATGTAATTGTGTTGTATACCTACAATGTACCAATAAAAGAATTTAATACAAAAAAAAAAAACACCAGTAATTCTCTAGGCTTTGAACAAGTTCCTTCTTCCCATCATCTATAACAAAGTGGATGCCCCTCTCATACTCAGTGTGGATTTATACAACCTGCTTTATGATACAGCAAATGTGGTTAGGCTTTATCCATATATCTCAGCCCACCATGCAAATCATCTGCGGACAGTTCTCTTATATGGCCAAAGTCTCTGTCTGTGGGCCAAAGGTTTCCAGGAGTTAATTCCCCAAGGATCAACCTTCCACAAACAGGGTGGTGTTGGCAGATAAATTGTTCAGACTCCTCATTCTTCAGAGGGACAATTTTAAAGCATGCATGATCCCCAGTCTCTCAAGGGATCCCAATGGTGTTGAGTTCCAGTTGCCCATAATAACCCCTTCATTAATTTGCCTTACTCTCTCTTGCTCCCCAAGCAGCTTGATGGGATCCCCTCTCAAACTACTGGCACCCAAATTCTTATCTCAGGGTCTGCCTTTGGGGAAACCCAAACTCATAGATAGCAAACTTGTCCCATGTAACTTATATTTAACGACTAGTCCGGACAGTTTAAGAAAAAAAACTTTTAAGTAATGATTACGAGTCATTCAAATTAAATGAATTTCACCTAACATTTACTAAGGCTCTTGAAAAACGAAGTAAGAAAGTCTATCTGAAGACTCAGATTGTACCTGCTTTTCAATCATGGCTTTTTCTTGCTTCTCTTTCAGCAACTGCTCCTCCTCAGCCTTCCGCTTGGCTTCCTCTCCTGCCTTTCTTTTTTCTTCCTCTTCCTGGCGCTTCTGTTCCTCTTCTTGCTTATGGGCTTCTTCTTCTAGGCGCTGCCTTTCCTCCTCTGCCTTTCTTATTGATTCCTCTTTCTCCTGCCTTTTGAGAATGTAATTGGTATCAGAAGAAGACACAATCAAAAGGCAAACTTCCAAAGAACCATATACTGACAGTAGTGGGTAATGCTCAGCACGTTAACAAATACATGCACTGGAATTCGTAATCATGTAATAAAATGACCGATCCTTCCTAGAAATCCATTCCAGTCTGAATGTTTACCAAAAAATGTTAACCAGGCTTGACTGTAAAGTTTGTAGGACAAAGAGTAACAACATATTGTATTTGAGGTATTTTTTTTGTTTTTTTGTTTGAGGTATTTTTTTGTTTTTTTGTTTTGGTACCTGGGATTGAACTCGGGTCCTTGAGCTTGCACAGCAGGCGGCCAAACCACTGAGCTAAATCCCCAGCAAGTAAAAACATATTGATCTGTGATGCCTACTTAATGACTTCATCTCTATAAATGATGGTGATGACACAGGAAGCCACTCTCCATCATTCTTATTTAATAACAATTCTTTCTTTTAAACTAAGCACAAAAAATTAAAACCAATTAAAGCTAGAAAAACTGGGAGATGTTGCAATGGCCACAAATGTGCCAGTCGGTAATTAAAAAGCAGTGACCACGAGCTCAACAAGTTTACTTTGGGTTCTAATTGGTATATGACTTTTGAAGTAAACAGTGGAAGAAAATGTTCAACAGAAACTCAAAACACCTATTTTCCATTTATTTTAGCAATCTTTAGAAGTATATTTTAGCTTTTAGTCTTTGTTATATAAAATTAAGTGACATTTAGATATTTTTATCCATAGATGAATAACAATAAAGAGCTCTAAGCAGTGAGGGAAAATTCTACAATGTCTAAAAGCTTGTTTTTAGATTTCTAATGTTCTTCCTACTTACAAGTGTGCCACTTCCCTTGGGTAGTCATGGCAATGTAAACTATGGGCAAGATCCACATTGCATTCTGACTGTGGCACTTGTGTGATACTTGGAAACTCACCCAACATTTCTGATGCTCATTTTTAAATGGGAATATACTTACTGTTATACTACCGCTCCGTGACATTATTATGAGAATTGAGATCATGCATGGGTATGCCTGGCCTGGAACATTCTCAAATGTTAGTTTTACAATTTAAAATTAATCCTCCTTCCAACCCCAAAGTCCATTTAAGTGCATCTACAAATCTGTATGTTTTTCAGAAATTACCTTCATTTGGAAGCACATGACACTGACTTACTGAGGTGCTGTTATGTTGTTATAAAAAGATCAAGACAAAGTCTTTTTTTTTTTTTGGTATTGGGGATCGATCTCGGGTTCTTGCGCTTGCGAGGAGGCAGTGAAACCACTGAGTTAAATCTCCGGCCCAAAAATGTACTGATTGTATTATTTTCTTTCTTTCTTCCTTTTTTTTTTTTTTTTTTGGTGCCGGGATCGAACTTGGGTCCTCGCGCTTGCACAGCAGGTGGCGAAACCACTGAGCTAAATCCCCAGCCCTAAGACAAACAGTCTTTCCATCCTAATGGTCAGCTTCAGGAATCAGGCAAATAGCCTTTGTCTTACCAAAGAAATATTTTAAGAGGTGAAGAAATATATAAAGGCATTAGCCCAAGACTTAACAGTGCATAATAACATACTCTATGCCAGCAGAGGTCAAAGAGCCTGGAAGCACTGTGAAGAAACTAAAATTTAAATAAGTATTCTACAGAAGTGCATCTGGGGGCCTAATCAGAAAGAAACTCCCATTCTTTTAGATTTTATAATCTAATATTAGGTACTATTTCCAATACAGAATTATAAAAAAATAAATGTGTTAATAACAAAATTTATCCAAATGTTAAGCAGAGAACTATTTCCTTTTTTATCCCTTTCTAAAAAGCCAGTAGTAATTGACCCAGAGAAATTAAAACACAAAGGATACCCAATATGTGAATTAACACATAAGTTACTTCCAAAAGGATCTGTTATAGTCATCTTCAGGGTCTGAAAACCCACTGCTTCTTCCATTTTTACCATCAGGACTTTGAAGTGTCTGGATGGACACATGCACTGACACCCTATGGCCCCTAAATCACCTCAGTCCTCATTATCACCCAAAATAGATTCTTCCCTGTAAGTCCATCAGCCCCTGCTTGTCCTTTCCATGGTGCCTCCATGGAAATTCTGTCTTCTACAGACAGGAGAATACTGTGCTTCTCCCAAAGTAGGTGAAAACTGGCAACACACATACATACACAGACTGGCTTCCCCTGTGTGAATCCAGGTCCTTCATAATCCTCTCGAAATACTCAGATCTTTATTTCATCCTTTTCCCTACTGCCCTCTGCTGAAGGCCACTCAGCCCACCACCTTTGCTATTGTTACTAAGTTCCCTGGAGTTTGAAAGACTTGTGGGTTCTTGTGGTTACTCTCCAAGCCCACGTCTCCCTTCATCACTAAGTAGAAAGCAAAAGAAAATAGAGCACTGTTACCATATGGCATTTAGCTGATACAGCCTTTGTCCCTGTTGCTAGCCACTGGTGAGAATATTCATATAATGGCCCCTGTCTCTCAACCTCCAGCGCTTCACCCCCTCTTCTGTTCTACCTTGTCACATCTTACATCATTGACATGTGCTCAGCTTTTAATTCCTGGTTTTTGTGGGGGGTTTTGGTACCGGATATCGAACTCGGGAACTTGCGCTTGGGAGAAAGGTGCCGGAACCACTGAGCTAAATCCTGAGCCCCAGCTTTTAATTGTTTAATCTTCACTGTTCCTATGTGCTTAAAAGTTTTCATTTTCAAAGAAAAGCTTAACTTCCATCATTAACCTCCTTTGATCTGATCTCACTTCTTCCTTCTGCCTCTTTCTCTGGTGGTCTGCAGTGGTGAACACTGTGTAGTCAACTTGCATCTGCTTCCCTTTTCTCTCAGTGCCCCACCCCAGGCATCTGATTCCCTCCTGAGCATTTCTGTGATGGCATGGAGGTCACTCTGTTGCCCAATGCCAGGCCCAGGTGACCCCAGGACCACTTGTGGCCTTAGACCACCCAGCACTGGTTGGGAAAAAGCATAAACAAAGATAACAGGTTATGTGCGCCTCTGTCTCGGCTGACACAATTTTAATCCCACTCTTTGGAGCTCCTATGGACAGTTCAAATTGCCACCTTTTCTCCATCTTCATCTTCCTCCTTAGTTGATGGCATCACCAGCCATTTTTTGAAGATTAACTGGTTTTATTGTATAATTTTTAAAAACTCCAAGAGGAAGGGTAGACATGGATGTGAGTGGATGGCACAATGATGCGATTAATCCAGAACAGATCCTACACTTTATACATTGGATGCATGTTTCATAAACAGATGATTGACTGAAGAATCAGAAGTTGTTTTACCTCACATGGCCTTTTTCACATACACCATACCTTGACTTAAATGAGTGATTCATGGAGCCTCTCTTTTCCAGTTATGCAAAAGAGAGTGTAATAACAGGAACTATGTGAGGGAACTGTCATTTTTTTGACAGTTGAGTATCTAACCCTCCATTTCCACCTGATATTCTTAGTAATTCTACATTGAGTATAGTATTTTTTTCTTTAAATTTAATATTTGTTCAAATATAAAATGACATTTCTATAGGTATGTCTGAATTTTTTTTTAAAATCACATAATCCTGCCTTTCTTCCACTGTTAAAAATCAGTTCATGGAGTGGCCCATTCTCACTCTGCAGAGCATACTTCTTTTCTTACCTTTAATACTTTTAATAAACGTAAAGCCTCACTACCTTTTGTGCCTATCTTGACCAATTTTTTTTTTTTTTGTACTGGGCATTGAACTCGGGTCCTTGTGCTTGTGCAGCAGGCGGCGAAACCACTGAGCTAAATCCTCGTCCCTCTTGACCAATTTTTTGATCAAGACAAGAACTAATCATTTTACAGAGAAGACTGAGGTCACCTGATTTGAGCTTCTTAGACTTCACTCCTTTATGGTATTATGGCTGAGAAAATTTCCCTTTTCTTCCTCTGCTTAGATGCAAAGGATTGCAAATGCCACTACTTGTACTATGAATCCCACACCCTGCTGGTAGCTTCACGTTCTTCTTGCTAGCCCCTCTTCCTTCTAATGCCAGTTGTACATTTCTATATGTACCTTTCCATGCCCTAAAAAATATATAGATCTCAAGCATCCCAAGTCACCCTCCTTAGTTCTCTATCTGCTTTCCACTTGTGACCATGGAATGACAAGCTTACACTCAGGGGCTCTACCTCTCTTCTCAATAATTTCCCACCAAAAATCTCTGCTCACCTCCTAAATCCCAAGACCAGTAGTCTTTCCTCAACCTGGACATGTCTCACAGACGCGACAGCCTGAACATCTCTTCCACAAGACCCTTTCTTCAACCCTGTGCCAAGGGAGGCTGTGTTTTCCTGGCTCCTTACTTCGGCTGCGGCCCAAGCCCCATTCAGAGAGGTCTTGCCTGCTCTAGTTCATACCAAGACCACCTGACACCTGGAGGCTCCACTAGCAAGAAGCCAGGTCTGAACAGTCCTGGGGACCTCTGCTTGCAACTCCAGGAAAAGGGCCCTCACTTGGACACCAAACTTCAGCCTGGCTACACAACTTTACTTGTGGGCTGCCCTGCCTGAATATTCTTTGATTTGAGCCTCTAGCAGTTACTTCAGCTTCTTAATGTGACTTCATGTGATATATTTTGGAATACCAGTAAGATCTCTTGCTTGCTAGTTTCTACCAGTGCCTTGCCCACAGTAGATCTGGAGTCTAAGATGGCTTGCTCCAACACCAAGAATCTCATTGTACATCCTGGGCCATCCCCAAGCCCAGGTGCTGGGGTTGTTTTTCGTGTTTCTGAGAGAGCTTTGATGTCACTGCTAGTTGGGACTGGAACAGCTTCTGCTCTTCTTAGGCCATTGTTGTCTGGACTCTTGGTCAGTCCTTCTATTAAGGGAAGTCTTTCCCACCCCTGACTTGGATAATGTTTCTTTCACCAGCTGGTAACAATGATTGGGCTTTCCATGGTTCGGCTCAAGTATTTTTATTTTTCTCTATATTCTGTCAACTGGCAATCACATTTCTATGGTTCTAACTATTAACTCTAAGCACAAAACAGATGGAAGGATGATCTTATTCCAAGAGGTATCTGCTGTGTTCCAGCCCCAGGGTGTCTGGTACTTTCCTTTCTCATCTTCCACTTGGCACTATGCAAAGTTTCACATTCTGGCAAGAAAAAGGAAAACTGATTTTGGGTCAAGTATTTAGGCTCATTTTTAACCTAGGCCCCAGGTTTCAATTCCATTTCCAGTCACCTAGGTATTCCATGGGTACCTTAAACTTAGTTTATCTAATATCAAACAGATAATTTTTATTCTTTAAAATCAATTCCTTCTACCCTTCTACTATCTGTTATTGGGTGTACCATTTTCCTAAGTCCTTTGAGTAAAATCTTAGCATCAACTTTAAATCTGTCCACTTCTTCTGAGTTATGCACGTCTGCAGACTCCCTTTCCTGGTTTGCCTTCACCATACCACTTTAGCTTTGTGTCTGCTTAACCTGTTAAGGCATGGTTTCTCAGTCAAGCCTCTTCCTCCTTGTCTTTCTTTCTCATCCATTTACTGAGCACCAGGCATCAGAAATCCAAAGACTACCCCAGCCTTTTAGGATGCTAACTAGGGGAAAAGGAGCCTGTAAATACTTGAGGCTGATGCCTATTAATCAGCTTATAGCTGAGATCAGAAAGGATGAAGAAGGGGGGAGATCAGTTCTCTCACCAGTACAGGGCCAGTCTGGCTACAAAGGAGTGAGTTTGACCTGCAGCTTAAGAAAATACATCTGGCAAAAGCAAAACTTTGGAGGTATAGAGCTGTGAGGTGGGAGAATGTCAGAGGGATTTGCAGGTTGCAAGCCTAGAGGGAAAGCAAGTAGAAAGGCAGGGAGCAGCCCGTTCATGGCAGGCCTTCAAGGTGTATGGATGGGTTTCGATGGATCCTGTCACAGGAGAGCCACTAGCTTGTTAAAGGACAGGAGCAGGACAATCACACTTATGTGAGAAAGGTCACTGTGGACACAGCATGGATAGTGGACAAGCTCTGGGAGACCAGGTATAGGGAACAGGGAAAGGGGACATTACTAGAACCTCTGCATCAGGTCCTAGTCTTCTGCGAGCCACGACAGCACAAGGCGATTTAATTAATATATAGACAGAAATGAGAGAGAAGAAGCTGAGCTTTGGCCTGATCAATGCTGTTCTGGGGTTTAGCTCAGTGGTTCCACCTCCTGCCTTGCAAGCGTAAGGACCCGAGTTCGAACCCCGGTAACAACAACAACAAAAAAGGATAGAAGGAAAAGACCCCAGACCCTGAGCTTGCCACACCTTTATTCAGAAAATCTGCAGAAACAAAAGTAGCAATTGACTCCAAGGGTGTGGCCGATGATCCTAGAACAATGAGAAACTATGCAGATGAAGATTGGGGTCCTCCCAGTATGGTGTAGTCCTACCCTGGAGCATCACAGCATCACCCGACCATTGAGGTCTTAGCTGTGACAGGAGGGGAAAATGAAGTTATGTCTCGACAGGCCTTAGCTAGCCTGTAGACAGGAAAACTAGGTCCTAATCATGATTTAATCATGAAATGATTTTCCCTCAAAATGATGTAGAATTGATCCTGACAACCAGGAGCAAGGCACTCAGTTGGGATGCCACTGACAGTCTAGGTCAGACACAGGGGCTAAAGGGGAAGGGAGAGAACAGAGATGCTAACGGGACAGCTAATGAAGACTGCCCTGACAACAAATGGGAATGTGGAAGATGGAAAGGGAACAGTTGAGAGTGGCTCTGAGACTTCTGACTTGGGTGCTGGGATAGATAGGGGCACAAAACTCGTACAAGGAAAAGCAAATTTGGGTGAAAGACATTAAATTCTGCTTTGGAATTGCTGAATTTGAGATGAGTATGTTGAAAACATGGGCAGCTGTATAGTCTGTAGGTTCTAGTAAGTGCTATCCGACAGAACTTTCTGTGATGAAGAAAACATTCTATAGAATTGTGTTGCCCACTGCAGTAGCTACTAGTCATATCTAGCTACTGAGTAGTGAAACGTGGCTACTATGGCTGAGGGGCCAAACATTCTCCAACCTATCTTTCAGTAGCCACATATGCCTAGAGGCTATGGTACTAGGATATACAGCCCCGGACAGAGACCAGGCAATAGGTACAGATTCAGCAGTCTTCAGAGACATGTGTTATATCGTACCTCCTTTATTCCAGAAAGTCTGGAAAGTTTTTTTTTTTTGGTACCGGGGATCGAACTCAGGTCCTTACACTTGTGTAGCAGGCAGTGAAACAAAAGTCTGGAAAGTTTACAAAGCAAGATGCAATTAGCTTCAGAAACAGATGATAAAACAAGGCAAAGGGAGAAAGAAGGTAGGAAACGAGATGACAGGACAGTCGATTTAACACACCAAAGGCTCAACACGTGACTGCTGTATGAAATACGAACCCTAAATGTTTTGAAGCCAGAGGAAACTAATAGTGTGGTAGGGATAATCTCAGAGCAGGAGGGAGCCGCACTGTTCAGAGAGGACTTGTCAGGTGAGAAGCTAACCAAAAACAGGACTGGAAGCTCAGATAATATTTAAAGGATGAGGAGTGGATAGAAGAGACTCAGGAGTCTGGAGATTAGGAAGAATGGTGGGTACACAGTTGGAAGAGTAAGTATGAGTTGAGGAAGTAAAGATAGGAAGTACAATCAATTTTCAGGAGCTGGGCTACGAAGGTAATGTAAGAGAGAGGATGGTGGCTAGAAGGTAAAGAACTTCCCCTTCCTAAGCACACAGCCACAATCACATCACTCTCCTGCTCAGAGCACATACCTTACCCTACCTGGAGGGCCTGCAATTACCAAGGCCTGTCATTTGAGGTCCTGTGATTCATCATCCTGTGAGCTCCCTTCAATGACCTACGGCCCACCCAAACAAGCCTGAACACTCAACAAGAACAAAGTCTACTGTCATTAACTGAAAGGCTGGAGTGAGAAAATAATTGCAGTAGCCCAGAACTGAAGAAGGAATCAGCCAGATACCACCCCTTTTAAAAATTTGATCAAGCCAGGTTGGTGCCAGGCACTGGCAATCTCAGCACTCTGGGAGGCTGAGGCAGGAGAAGCGCCAAGTTTGAGTGTAGCCTGGGCACCTTAGTGACTTAGTGAAACCCTGTTTCAAAACAGATAATAAAAACAAGTGGCGAATTGTGGTAACTATCTGTCACCCTCTACCGTCTGAACTAGACTTAAGGGAGGCCAGAGGAATGGGGAAAAAACAAGAACCAAGATATATCATGTACAGGTACAAATTCCCAATGACGAATGTGATCATAATGTATACCTAAAATCTACCAATACACTTAATGGAAAAAAAAAATGGGCTGGAAATGCAGCTCACTGTGAAGGCCCTGTGTTCAATCCTCAGTACCACATACACACAAAATGAGATCAGTAAACCTGTAAGCAGGGATCATAAAGACTTGTCAAGGTTACTAAAGGATCAAGAATATCTTATTATTTATTAATTTAAATTCAGCGATGGCCTTCAAGTGCCACAGCACCACTTGCTTCCTGTCATGTTCGCTCTCTAAATAGCACTGGGTTGCACTCTGTGATTATTCTAAAAGCTTCCTTTACCAATAAAAATCAACCTTGTCCTTTAATACATATCTCCTCTCTGAATACAAAGATCAGAAAAGGCAGGACTGTATTGCAACAAAGTGGCCTGGCGCTATCACCACAGTGGTTCTCAAACACTGCTGAGCTACTAAAACACAGCAGGGCTTAGACCAGTGCATCTTCACTGTGATCTCTGCATGATTCTGACTCCCTCCAAAGTTTGAGGACCTTTGGGGTGACATGTTTTGTCTTACTCCAGGACTTCCCCACAGCTCAATGTTCATGGGCTATGAGCTTGGCTCCCCTTACCCCCACACCTAGGAAACCCTGCCCAACTCTTTTCACTCTCACTCTGGGGTATAAGGTAGGATAATTTGGGAGAGAAAACAATTTGGGAAGCAGAAGCAAGTTCTCTACATCCAGAACCTTCTGTCTTCCCGAGGCCATTCTTATTCTATAGTCCACATTCTCCTGGTAGCTCTACGAGGCCTGCCTGGTCTCCAAGTCCGAGAGGAGAAAGGGAAGCTGCTTGTAATGTTTAGATCCAACGTCTATAAATGTCCAGGTCCTCTGAAAAGAGCAAAGTTCCACCTGTGTTAATTATGGTGAACAGAAGATGCAGTCCAGCCGTTCTAGGTCCTATACTTCTGCTTAGGTTTTAGCAATACCAAAATCACAAAAATAAAGGCAAGCTGCTCTTTGCAACCCAGCTTTTACAAGAGATCCTGCTGAAGCTCTGAGCACTTGCATACCTCTCCTGTTCTTCCTTCTCCAGTCGTTCTTGCTCCTCCTGTTCCTTCTGCAGCCGAGCCTGTCTTCTCTTTTCAGCCAGGATCTTTGTAGCTTCTCCTGCATCAGTGGTGCCTGCTGTGGGCTTCCCCAAAGCTATGTCAGAAAAGAGGCAATAAGAAGAAAAGATCAAGGTATATAAACATACCAGCAATGTTTCCACACACACAGCAGCTGCTGCTTAGATACAAAAAGACCCAGTGCAGTGTGGTGATGGGAAATGCTGCCAGGACAGTGTTATAATTAACCACTGAGCAGAACCTGTGATAGGCCAGCTGTGACCCTGGCTGCATTCATTCCACAGTAGAGGGTGGTGGGCAGCTGAGAAAGAAAAACAGAGTCACAAGCAAGTCTCCCAGCAGCCACGATCTGGGTGAACACACTGAATCACAGAGGCTTTAAGAACTGAAGGAAAGGCCGGGGATTTAGCTCAGTGGTTCCGCAGCCTGCCTTGCAAGCACAAGGACCCGAGTTCGATCCCCAGTACCAAAAAAAAGAACTGAAGGAAGACCCTCTCTTGTGAGAAGTGCAGATGCCAGCTGGCTGCAGCTCATTTACTGGGCACTCCTGTGAGTTTCCATAGCTGTGAGAAGAGTCAGCCCCTAGGTCTCCTCCAGGGCGCCTATGGGAGATGGTGGGGAAGGTCTCAGGAGCAACAAGCAGGCCAGATAAAGCACTACAAGGGGATGTCATTTTCCCAGGGAAAACCCCCCTCTCTCCCTAAACATGAGAAAATGGCAAGTAGACTGGATCAGGGAGAGGCATCTTGGGAAAGCCACCATCCAATGGCAGCATCGACAAAGAAGGTTTACCTGCACTGCTCTCGGCCCTCCCTCCTGTGGCAGCATGCTTCTCAGTGGCCTGCTTGTCCGTCACATGCTTCTCGGTAGCATGTTTGTCTGCCTCGTGATTTTCAGTGGCCTGCTTGTCCACCACATGCTTCTCAGTGGCCTGCTTGTCTGCCATATGCTTCTCTGCCATATGCTTCTCTGGGATTTCTTCTCCTTGTGGGCCAGCAGCCTGCGGACCTGAAGTGCTTTCCCTTTCCTTATTACTCTTCTCTTTCTCTGATTTCTTCTTGAGTGTTTCTTGGCTGGGAATGGGGGGAAAGCGGTACTTCACAGGAGATCCTTGGTATGGTGGCTTCACAGTCTTTGGAGACTGTGGATATGCTTTTGAAGTTGTTCTGGAAAACCAAAAACAAACCATAAGATGATTAATGGGCCTGACCACAGAACTTTGTTCCTAAGACATTTGGTTCCAAAAGGCTGAGTAATTTCATCCTTTGAGAAGACCAAATACAAAGTTAGTACATACTAAAAAGTCTCTAAAGCAGGCTGAGGATGTAGCTAAGTTGGTAAAGTGCTTGCCTAGTATGCGCAAGCCTGGACTTGATCCCCAGCACCCTCAACAAATAAGGCTTCAAAAGTACTCTTACCCGAATAGGAACGTATGTTACCTGTAAGATGGCCCTGGTAGAAGGGAAGCCACTCTGAGAAACCCAGCTGGTGATGGCAGGTCCTAATCTCACTTATGTTTTTTTTTTTTTTTGGTACCAGGGATTGAACTTGGGTCCTTGCGCTTGCGCAGCAGGCGACGAATCTCACTTATGTTTGATGACCACATAAGGATAGTGATATGATTTGGAAATGGTTTATCTCCCAGAGGTTCGTGTGCTTGGAGGCTGGTCTCCTGTACAGTGACAGTGAGAGGTGGTGGGACTATTTAAGAGGCTAGGCCTAGTGGGCAGTGATTAGGTCATGGGGGCACTGCCCTTGTGAGTGGATTAATGACTTTCTTGAGAGACTGAGTTAGTTCTCTGAGATTAGATTAGGTCTTTGGGAGTGAGTTACATCTCTTGGGACTGCATTATTTACCACAAGAATAGGTTGTTATAAAGCAGGTCAGTTCCCCTTCTGTCTTATTATCACACTTACTTTCTTCCACATGTGCCCTCTTCCCTTCTGCTTTTCCATCATGAAGCCCTCACCAGAAGCCCAACTGATCCTGGTACCATGCTCTTGAACTTCCTTGCCACCAAACTTGTGAGCCAAAATAAATCTCTTTTCTTTGTGAAGTAGCCAGCCTCAGGTATTTTGTTATTGTAACACAAAGTGGATTAAAACAGCTGAAGTGTTATGTATTTTCTTACCACCTCTTTTTATTTTATTTTATTTTTTATTTTTGGTACTGGGGATCAAACTTCGAACCTTGCACTTACGAGGCAGGGGGCGGAACTACTGGCCTAAATCCCCAGCCCACCACCTCTTTTTAGATGAACATCAAGATTGGATCTGGTGTCAGCATATGGCAATAGACGATCTGTCCCCTTTTTAAAATATTGTGATAAAATGGGCCAGGGATTTAGCTCAGTGGTGTCACCGCCTGCCTTCCAAGTGCACGGTCCTGAGTTCGATCTCCATTACCAAAAAAACCAAAAAACAAAAAAACACAACTAAAAAAGAACTAAAATATTGTGATAAAATAAATATAACATAACATTTACCATCTTAACCACTTTAAAGTGTACAGTTCAGTGGCATTAAGTACATCACATTGTTGTGTTACCATTATCACCATCCATCTCCATTAGGGAACAATTCCCCATTCCCCTCTCTGCCCCAGCCCCTGGTAACCACTGTTCTACTTTTTGTCTCTGTGAAATTGACTATTTCAGGTACCTCATATAAGTGGAATCACACAGTATTTGTCTTTGTGTGTCTTTCTTATTTCGCTTTGCACAATGTCTTTAATGTTCCCAGTTCCTTTTTAAATGCTGAGGAACAGTCAGAGGATTAGAGGGTACCTTTTGGAAGTCCTTAGGATTTTTTTTGGTACCAGGGATCAAATGGAGGTCCTTAGGTTTAAAAGAATCTCTCTCCTCTTTACTGGACAGTGTAAAAGGTGAAAACAAGCCACTCAGGGAAGCACTACTTTGTTAAAATGCAGGTTTGTTAAAGCTATGACAATTTAGGGTTAGATACTGGTGAGTGCTGGGTGGTGAGGACACAGACAACAGCTGAGTTTGAGATGTCAAGTTACCCAGGGTTTTGCAGTTATGTGCACAGGAAGGATATAAAGTAATCGGTATAAAATTATAAATTATCAGTTTCAATCATGTAGCAGGTTGAACCATGATTGTTAATATCCAACTGTTTTTGATCTATAAAAATGGCAACTCAGCCTATTATTTAAGGTCAATTTCTCACCAGAAGCTTAAAGGGTTACCTGATCAGATCCTGGTAGTAAGGTAAAAATATGATAAACTTGGTCTTGAGCTGGAAAACATCTGTCTGTCAAGTGGTATGTGGATTGGACAAGACAAAGACCAGTTTTCAGTGAGGTAAAGGCTAGCTCATGGTGCCCAGGACAGCACCTTCTCTCAGCCATTGCCAGGAGGGTCACACAGTAGTGGGGAAAGATGATTCCTGGATACAATGAATACTTCTTTAACATGATCTGAATTTCTGAAATACAGTCATTTGAATATCAACCATTTTACTGATGCAAAGCTTGTCTGGATCAAACTTGCATGGTGGGCTATCCACCCCTTCCATGGCAGTCTCCTTCCCTGCTAGCACCTCTACCCCACGAAGAGTTTCTTCATACTGGCCAAACTCCTTTCCCAGTGTCATCATCCCATTGGCCTGGAGTCACCCAGGACTCAAGGCACCTTGTTTATGCAAAGAATACTTTGACCCTCTGCAGGTTCTTCTCTCTACCCTTGGGCTCAGCTGGCTCAGACTCTATGTTTAAATTTTCCCACAATTCCCAAGGGATGTAGTCGTTCAGATGACTCAGCAGCCAGGTGGTTTCTTTTTTATGAAAAAATAAAACAAAATTTCATAACTAAATATTAAGAGAGTAACATTCGTTAATATACTGTGTATCACTATCTTCAAAGTAGTTATTCAGAGCACAAGATATAGACCAAAAAGATTTTTATAAAGAAACAGATAACCTAAAACTTCCTTTTCAATGAATGAAGATAAACTAGTAGTATAAATGAAACAAATTAGCATATATATTGCAATATTTTTGAAACAAAAGAATAGGTAATTTGGGGAAGTATTTAAACTTCTCTTTCCCCATTAAAAAAATATATGTAATGTTTCTCCTATAAGAGAAACCATGTGCTATTTAAGCCTGTGTGTCTGACTGATTTCACTTAACATTCTGGTCTCAAGTTTCATCCATTTACCTATGAAAGCGAGGCGGTTTCTAGATGCACTATATAACTCCCATTTTCTTTTTTCCTAGACTCTTTTTTTGTTTTTGTAATTTCACATACACTTTTTTCTTTATTTTTTCAATTTTTATTTTTTATTAGTACATGTTTGCAGCACACAATGATTACATTCCTTGTAGGGAGTTGGTACATATACATAACACATCCTAGTTTTCTTTTCATCCCTTTTCCCTCCCCACTCCCTCCATCTCTTGGGCCCCTTTTCTTTTGTATTTTATATTTCTCATAAGAGAAATCATATGCTATTTAAGCTTGTGTGTCTGATTTATTTCACTTAATATTACAGTCTCAAGGTGTATCCATTTTCCTAGATTGTTTTATCAAAGAAAAATTATGTATAGAATCCCTCTGCCTCATGATTTGCATTTGAATGTATAGCAGGCTTTTCCAAATGACATTTGGGGGTAGAGTGTTCTGTCTCATGGGGGCTGCCCTGTGCACTCCAGGATGTTGAGGAGCATCCCCGTCATCCACCCACTAAAGGCCAGTATCAATCAGACCTCCTCTCTGGGTTATGACAGCCAAAAATGTTTCCAGACATTCCCAAATGGCCCTTCAAGGACAAGACTGTCCTCAGTTGAGAAACTCTAAGAGGAGACACACCCCATTCTGTCCCTCAGATATAAGAGGAACTGCTCTGGCTATAGGGGTAGTGTCTAATTCCCACAACAACCCCGAGGCACACACACTCATGAGCTCCTGAGAGCCTTGGCTTGAAAGGTAATATATGACACCTCTATGATTTAGCACATGAGTCCTTAAGTGTTCTAATGGACAGGGTCAGATTGGTCTGATTATCTGGAGCTTAGCTCTCCATTAACATCTATACATTCCTATACATGTTTACTGAGTGCTGTCCACATACTCAGCATAGCGCTAAGTGTGTGGGGGGGTGTATTTGTGTACATACATGTATATATGTGTGTCTTTTAGTCACGGAAATACAGTATGACAGAGGTGCTATTGTTACTTTACAGATGAGGAAACCCAGCTTAGAGAGGTTACATGACTTCTGTGGTTAACTAAGTGATGGAGCTAGGGTTTGAGCCTACATATACCTGACTATACTCCTTACCACCCTTCTCTAACTCCTTGTGTTGTAATGGTGGGGAAGCATGGGTTTGGGCTCATCAAGGCTCCAAGGTGTTCTTTTTAGAACTAGTAAGGAGTAAGTACTCAGTAACTATTAGATTTGGCAGTGTTTCAATAGGTGTTATGATAAAAATGCAAGTGACCCTCACAGATATAAGAATGAACCAAAAACCAGGAGGATGAACTGTTAACAGGGGAAACTACCTTATCCTGTTCTGTCATGTTCATAGTACTCCACTGAGGAGCATTTTCCAAGGAGCTACAAAAAACTGTGTTTAGGTTCCAAGAATGTGTAGAAACATATGGCAAAAGGTCTTTTCCCTGCTCGTACCTTTCTTTCATACTGTCTAGGACAGGCAGATTCTCTATGTTGCCCCATCCAACTAAACATCCCAGCCCTCTCAAACTAACAAGTGACATGTTGAGATGAGTGGTACCCAGAGCTATAAACCCACCACCCACTCTGCCATAACCACCATGAGGATGTCTAAGAGAGACTCATTGTAATCCCTTGCCAAGATTAAAACGCATTACTGACTTCCTGGAATATCGAAATTCTGTGTGTGCCTCTGGTCCAACAGTGTAGGAGCAGGGGGTGAATTTGGGGCTTGTGAGAGAGGCCATAGGATAGACTGCTATCTTGTAGTAGATGATGTGGACAGAAATATTTTCTCTTCATATAAGCATTCCTACCTTGACTCATTGAAGAGCCACTTCTGGCATTGGAGGACTGACAAAAGCCATCTGCTCCTTTCTTGCCCTTACCCCTATCCCCAAAGAGCACGGTATGAGTTTGCTTGTTGATAAGACTGAGCAAAGGTGTCAGAGGCACACAGCCCTTGTCA